CGGAAGCAAGGTTTTGAGGATGCCAAGTACTGCTGCATGTCATGTGAGCTGTGTCCTCTATTTTAAGAGCCTCACGGCCAACCCCAGCCACCGAAACGAAGCGCGAACACCTCAAGCAACTAGCAAAGTACAGTCCTCAGGCTTTCATACAGAGGTTTACAGCACGAATTCCGCGGAAGCCTACGCGGAAGCTTCGCGTAAGACGAAAACGCTTTTGAAGGTAGTTGACCACGCCCCCACTCCATCAAAGCAAATAACAGCAGTTCGACTTCGTCCACCTCGTCATTCTTTGCTTCATCTTCAAGCTCTACTTCATCAGAGAACTGACCCCCCACGCAGAGAAAGGAAAAAGGCATGTGAATCAACTTGTTTCAAAATAGACCTCCGACGCGCAAGGTTCGCGTTAGCGTTAGCGAAAGCACTCCAAACTAACACCGCGTAAATGAAAACGCAGCGCGCGTAAGTGTTGCGGAACAATAAAGGATTACAAGGCCAAGACATAAGGGTTTTCGACGCCGCTCAATTGACCCCATTTCAACCACTCCAACTGATCGGTAAATATGTTACATGGAGTGTTTGGGAGGGGTTGACCAGCAGCACTCGACTTGACAGGTCATCCCATGCAAAGTGCTCAAAAAATACCTTACACCCCGAAAGGGACCCACCACCCCGAAAGGAACCCGCATGGAATCCCATCCCAACCGGGCTGATGGCATGGACCAGACTGGAAGACGATGTTCCTTTGCGACCTCACCGTGGTTTTCAGGTTCCATGTCAGTTTGTTCCAGGGTGGAAGCTCTAGGAAAGGGCGGGACCGAACAAAGTCCCAGGAAGGATGGATTTGTAGGTGGGGCCCAATCTCCTTGAGATCCCGGCACCCCAAAACAGAATCAGAAACCTATATTGGTTGTAAGGCTCTCTCTCCTTTAGAAGGCTCTCTAGGCGACAAACTGCCGACGTCCCTTTGCCGACGTCCACGTCGCACCAGGACCACCGACATAAGTGACAGGTGGTGCAGCAGTTTTTTGGAGCGAGAGGCTTCGGGGCTGATCGATCATCACAGATGTATTGTTGATGGTTTTTGACCATTGACTATAGGATGCGTTCTGTTCATGCTCCCCTCAACAAGAAATGACAGATTTAATCATATATGACAGATTTCATCATATGTTATCATCCGTAGACTTGTAGAAGTTTGCCATGTAAACCATGTGCATGGGTAAAATGGTTTGACAATGCAAAGGCAAGAGCTTGGATCCTTGTGGAAAATGCAAAGGCAAAAAGGAGGCCAGCCACCTGAGCGGCCCAGGGACCATTGTAAGACCCGACCCTCAACCTGGTAAGATTCACAATACTCCCGCAACCTGTCATGTTCACATCACGGTTGTGGGAGTATGATTCATCCTACATGACTCTTCCCTCTATCTATCCGACTCCTTCTCGCCGAGCACGAGCGCCCCGACGCCTCTTGGAGTCGCCCGGCTACGGCGGGCCGAGCGGCGGGCTGCGGCGGACTGCGGCGGACTGCGGCGGAGCCGAGCCGAGCCAATTCGTGACGAAACATGGGCAGCCGCGATGGATTGAAGCTTCGCACGGAACATTTGGGGCATCGCTACCAGTTCGTAGCTCCTGGCATTACTAGCTACTACAAAGTAACAAGAAGCTGCGACCTTCTCTATATGAATGGATGGATGTCTCCGAGTTCGGCTCAGAGTCTGGACTGACCCCCGTTGGCCTTGGGTTTGGACCCTCACAACTATAGGGTTTTCGGGCCGAAGAAACACATGTAGCAGTTGGTTCGGGTCCAGGGTCGCCTCTGGGCTATAAGTGTACTGGGGTGTGACGAACTAGTTGGGAATGCCATGGAATCCGATCATATGGCCCAACTGGCTATGCGCCACATGGTCTTCGACTGCACAGGTGAAGGTGGGGAGGAACCTAGGCCCTCTGAAATCGTCGCAGTTTTCGGGCTCCTGTTCCTTGTACAGATTCTCCGAGCCATGTTTGATGGTTGAATATGGAGCTTGCAAATAGAGAACATTAGACGACTCGGTTGTGTGTAACCTTCCAAACTGGTCCAGGAAGTGGCATGTCAGAAATCACACGAGCACAAGATGGGTGCTACCATGCTTTTGCCAAATTCCAATTGTTTCCAGAAACACTCCTTATATTGTTTCAGACGTCATGGGAAAGAGTCATCCCTGCTGCACGACTCTGGCTGATGAAGCTGCCATGTTTGTTGAATTCATGCACCTCTTCAATGCAGGGCATGGCTGCCATGCAGGTCGTCAACCCAGAAATTGAGAAATCAAACCTCCTTCAGCTCCACCATTCAGAAAGGGATGACACGGATCATTTGAAAAACAATGGTTCTTGTATGATCATAGAATCATGTAAACTCAATGGTGCTTGGAATCCTGGGCTTGCTACTTCTGGTATTCATGATGCGAAACAATAGAAGGCCGAACGTACACCCTTTTGTACGCCGCACAACAACTGCTTCCTTCGTTCCCTCTGAAGCCCACTGTACAACACGTCTCATCACAGAGTCCAGCACCTGTCGTCCTGGATCTCTGATCAGAGATATTGCCAATGAATTGGGTACTTCATATACAGGCTTTCATGGGCCGGATCTCTGGTGATCACTTCTATATCAAAAGCTTGATATAATGTATAATATATAGATATAGAGAAATAATAAGCATTCATTTCAAAAGCTTTCCTCTGGATCTCTGGGAAAGCACATCTGTCTAGATATGAAATCCAACTCAGAAGCCAGGAGCTGCCCCGTATGAAGTACAGCTGATGAGCTCAGCCTGAAATCAACATGGCGAACTGCCACACGTACGAGCACCAACGAATCAAGGACCATGAAGAAAGGCACGACACAGTCGATCTAAACGTTGTCCTGATGAACACGGTGCCACACGGTTTGCCATGCGGCTCAGTAGACGAGTCACCCCACCATGTCAGTGGCAGCAACGCTCCGATTGTAAAGCCTCTTACTAAAATTTACTAAGATTCTACGTGATAGATCGTGATAGGCTAACTGGAAGAAACAGGCCTGTTTGCAGCATTTTGTAGCCCGTGATTCATCATCTCGAGAGTGTTGTAAGGACGATGGTGATTTGAGTCAAGCCTCCATCTCCACCGTTCAGCCGTGGAAGGAATGATCATCCGCCAGTTCGGAGTTGCTTCTTCAGACTCTCCCAGGCCCCAGGCGCTTGAGGTGCCAGCATTCTAGTATGTTTGGAGCGCGTGCTTTAAACTGGGGGAGTATCTCAAAAACCCTGGGTTCGATTCGGGAAATCGACCAGTGAACCGTTTTTCAGGGGGCCTCCCTATCACACCCCTGCCAAAAGATCGCGGAACAGTTTTCCGCCCGCGAGGTCAGACCACGTGCGTCGCACCTACTGAATCACGTGCAGAAAGAATTTCTTCACGCCACTGTAGACTGTGAACATTTGGGAAACGTTTTAGTGGATTCGGATTTCGATGTCTGCCATGTATGCCAACGCAACTTTGGAAGATTGGAAGATTCAGACCGACGATCTGAGATGACGGCCTGCCCCTAGTTTTTTGGAGCTCACCCGTGTGCTGAAGAGAAGGACGGCGCAATTGTCTGTCACGAAAGGCGGCGGGTCACGTGGTGGTCGTTTTGGGGAGGACCTAGAGAGTTTTTTCACAATCCCAGCCTATCCATGCCTATCCCATATTGTATACCCAGTTCAGGTTTCTTGACCTCTCTTGGGAGTGCAGGACTTGTGGTTGTGCCTAGTTATAGCTCATGGAAGTGACCATCACTCACCGAACGCCCTTGGTCCCTGGTCCTTGCAGTTCATTTGTTTCACATGGATCCAACGTCAAAAGCTCACCGTTGGCACTGTGAATACTGAGGTGAAACCAACTTAGCGGGTGGATGTATAACTGGTGATGCCCGATGTATGGCCTCGGGATCTCCAATCTGTTACTGATTTTGTCTTGGGTGCTGTACCCTAGGGCTCCAACTACCTCCAAATGTGAACTCCGTGGTTGTGAGTGCGAATGGGGGTGTCTCTAGTCCCTACCTTCTAGGAGATGATTCGAGCGTCTTCGAGCGCTTGGGGTTAAAATCGATTTCTCCCTATAGATTGCTACTCGCAGTGTTCGTTCACAGGGGGAAGAAGTCTCAACCTGCAGATTTTCTGCCAGTCTCGGCTTGTAGGAGGGAAACATTGATCGATGCAGGTCCTGTTTCTGGAGGACATGGGGCCCAAGTGATATATTTAAGTATATTTAATTACTTAATACATGTTAATTTTGTTTACAATGACAACTTTTGTTGCCCACGTGTGTTTGAGTGAGAGCGTGTCTTGTAGAAAAACCTTTTCTTGCCGGGGCTCGATGATTGGAACCAAGTGGATTCAGGTGGACGAATCTTTGGATATATGTCATGCTACTTCACAAGCAAGAGGCCGCAAGGCTTTTCCATCAGCTTCTTTTTTCTGTTCATGGTTTACAGTTACACAGATACACAGACTCCACTCTTGGTCGTTCAGAAGATTTGCCCAATCTGCTGCTGTTTTGGTTTCAGGCCGCAGCGGTTGTTGAGGTATCTCCTAGAGCTGGGGCAGACAACACATGCATATTTGAGGAAAGAACCTATGGGTCCGGGCTTGGAATCCCGTGCCGGGAATACTTGGATCAAATCGCTGATGTGTGTTTGGAGTACATGTGAAACATCCCGACATCCCCACACATCCTTCTCACCTGAACCGACCAAAACCATCCACGGCATCACAGCCTGTTGGGGCAGGGAGACTTCCACTCGCCGCTTGGCCAAGCTTCACCAGACCATACTCGCCATTGCTCAACCTTCCTTCGGCATGACCGGAGCAGGGTCAAGACACCCAACCTTGGGGGGGTGAACATGGGTGAACATGGGTGAACACATCGATTTAACAGGATTTTACACCCTCCCCACGTGTCACCTGTCATATCCTGTCCTCCTCACAGCTTCACTCAGACCACCTCCGACCACCTTCCACCTCCCCACACTCCACCGTTCGTCGGCCTTCCTGATCCAGGCGGGTGGGCGGGGTGGGCGGGTTCCAAGCGAAGGTCAAGTCAGGTTCGGTCTTGGCGGGTGTTTCGAGGTGTTTTCTGTTCACAGCCCCAGGCTTATCTATAGGCTTATCTAGGCCCACCGTTGATTTGTATGGACCGGACCGAAGAAGTTTTGCGTACTGGCCACTTTACGCTAAGAAACCGGGTCAGCTGGTGTTTTTGTCATTGACGTATACTAGCCGCATCTAGCCGCTGTGAGCGAAAGACGTCATCAGCTGTCCCAAATTTTGGACTACTGACTACTATTATATATGTTTGTCCTATACACTCTCTGAAATATTGCATGGAAGTGGAAAACCACCTGTTTGGTATTCGGAATAGGGTCATCCACTGTCCAACAGGTCATGATTTTCCACTTTCATGATTTCAGGGAGTAGTTTTTGTTTGTTTTCTCCAATGGAGAGGATCAGAGATCTTATCATTCACCAGGAACTGCACCTGGAAGACCCAAAGTGGCCGGGTGTGCAAGCCACCGGGGTGGAAGTATGATGTAAATGCGTTCTCCAGCAGTTCAGGGGTGCCCATCACATCCACTCACTTAGGGCGACGCCCCATCTCAGCCTGGGGCTACAGGACCAGAAAAACCACCCGACTCCTGAAATCGTGGGTGGTTCAGACAAGAACAGGTCCGTAGGGGTTCTGCTCGACAGCGGAACCGGGACCATCATCGGTTGGTCAGAGTGGGGTGGGCGGATTCTTTTCCAAGTTCCTTAAGTAAGCCAATCAAGTTTAGGTCTTGAATTTAAGCTGTTCCATTGCTTGAAGCATGTTGAAGCTGTTTATTGTGTGTGTGTTCCACTGTTGCTTCATTCTTGATACAGGTGGACACCTCGAGGCTGCCCCACTCCCACCCGCATCTGAAAAAAACGATCTCTTTTTGATGACTGAACCACCCAAAACTGTATTGTACACGAGGTGTATTGTTCTCAGCCTGTCGGGGTTGGTCTCCCCGTGGAACCACGGCCATCGAACGACGTGAGCCGACGGCGCGACGAGGCCGTCGGGCATGGGAGCTGCATGTTGCTCTCAAGCTGAGCCGGGGCAGAAGGACACAACAGTTGGCTTTGAAACCCGGACATGTCCGCCAAGTCGACTGGCAGTGCGGTGGCTCTTCTTGGTTCCATCATCTTGTGTGCATTGAGAGCTCGAAAACGGGGATGCTTTCTAGTGGTGGTAGTGATGCTGGTAACGACTGGTGACCGGTGGCAGATTCTGGTCGTGTCAGTCGCCCCCTTCCGAGTTCCCAGCATTTCACCGGAGGTTTTTCACATTTTTTCACCAGCGTGGGCGATCCAATTATGAGCGAACAGTGGGTTCAGGCACCAGCCAGTTGCACGGAGTCATTGTCGGATCTTACTTTCACATCTTTCACGCCTTTGCTTCGAAGGCTTGTTCGGCCTCCATAACAGGGGCGACAGGGGCGACAGTGCCCTCATAACCGGTTTGTTTGACGGTCCGGATCGGTGTCAAGCAATCGGGGGATGGGTCAGTTTACCCCATACCTCCAAGAATTCATCACAAGAGAATCAAGAGAAGTTCAGCGACTTGCAGAGGGATCAGTTTGGAATAGTTTGGGACCTGCGATGCCATCTCAAATGACTACCCATCAGGCCAGTATCCATGTGGAGGATCATGTTTGTATATGTTTTTCTGTGGACAAAGCCACAGCATAGCTGAGGCTTGAATTCTCTTGCGTAAACAAACTGATAACCTAGAATTTTCAGACAACTTTCTGAAGAACCCCCTTTCTCTCCCAAAACTACTGCGGTCTTCCCCGGTTTGCCCCCCTTGTGTGGTCTTTCTTCGCCACATCCCCAGAGATCCTGTGAGATCCCCTGAGATCGAGTCGCTCCTTTCGTTCGCAGGAGCAGGTGCCGGGCAACCCGCCCTTGGATCCCACCAAGAGCGCCAAGCTAGCTCCTGGAGCTCCCGGGCCCGTGCGGACCCCGGCGTCGTTCACGGGTCGGAACAGCGGGCTCGGGCGATCGAACTGGCAACAAGTGGGAGGGTTCAAAGGAGGGGTTGATGTGGATAAGCTTCGACACGAACACAGACGCAACGACATGGTTTTTACATGAACTCTTCAGCTTCAATCAGTGTCCACCTACGGCACACCGACATCACACCGGTTGGGCCGCCGACAGCACACACGTGAGGCCGGCGTAATGACCGAACTAGGGTCAAAAGAAGTTTTCAAGACCATAAAGGTTGGACTCTCTCCTCCCAAAGCAAATACACTACCAAAAACTAACATAGACCCTGACAATGGCCCCCTGGAAGATTGTTTTCCTCTACCAACCAGTGGTTTTCCAGGGTCCATGGCATCGTCTTCCAGGTGTACCGTAACCGCGGCACCGATTGGGCAATGTTAGTTGAAGACCGCTGAGGGCACCGGGGTTCATGTCGCCCGCCTGTGTTGGACTTGCCGGAGACACTTGACTGCATCGGTCTATGGTCTTACTTTGTTGGGTGTCAGGGCATTGAACTTGGTCTCACAAGGAACGAGGGAGCACCATCTGGTTGATGTACCTTTAAGGTGCCATACCATGTGACGGCCATGTGCATCCATGTGCTACGGTTGTCACCTCTTGCATATCCACAAAAACGTCAAAAGTAAAACTGCCGGTAGAACGTTCTTCGAAGCGGGTCACCCATACCCAGGCAATCCATGGGACTGGAATATGTGTCAGATGAGTCAGATGTGTATATATAGGTGAAGGGTCCATACAATCCGGGCTGCAATGCTATACCGGGTCAATGTATATCCTCCTATTATAGGGCTCCTATCCTTAGAAGGTGATGGCACCATCCCCCTGGCACCCACCCCAACCTTCGACACGGAGGTCGGCCAGGAGTCCCCGCCCCCCCCTGAGGCTTCGAGTCCGGCGCCTGTGGTGGCCAGTGATGGAGACGGCTATAACTACAAGGTGAGGCCGGCCAGTTGATCTACCAAAAACCCCAAAAGGGATGGTTTAGTGGAATTATACCAGGACCCTTCTGTCGGGACACCCCGACAGGAGGGTCCAGGTATACACCCATCCAGTATGCAGTCTCAGACATTTATGATCATGTATGCATTGGGTTTTCGGGCCCGTCGCTTTCTTTGGGGGGCGACCCGTCTTTCATGCGAAGGGAGGGAGAAGTGCAGTGCCAAGCGAAGATCTATAGCGATTTTTTTGTTGCACTAGGACCCTCCAACGGATGGTGTTAGCACTCTCACCGATGTCACCAGGAAACACCTGTTGTCACCAGGATCTCACCTGTTCGTCGGGTGCCAAACCAGTCGCTCTTCAGATCGCTTGGCCCAGGTGTTTCCAGATGGATCCAGATATGAAGGTCAATGGAAAGACGGGCTGAAGCACGGGAAGGCGCTGTGTGGAACTGTGTGGAGAGTTAGGAGGACACTAGCTGTGCGCCCGGGGCGGACATGGTGCTTGGTAGAGGACAATGACTTTCTACTAGTTCAGGGCTAGGTTCAACAAACACATGCATATTATAGCCACCTCAATCTTCCACCCCAGTGGAACTTGAGTCAACGAGTGCTTGTTTTTAGGTGAGTTCACAAGCTGTGAGTTCAAGTGTTTTGCACGCCTCGAAGAGCATGGATGTAACATCCCTGTCATGCGTGTTTGTTGTCCTGATTTTTTTGTGTACGGTTTATGGATTGAAATGTGTTCTCATAATCAGGAACATGATCCGAAGGCAGGAATCTCCGCAACTTGTTTATAGACGATTGCCAGTCAGTACTAATATTGGCTTCAGGTTCCTGTGACTGAGTCACCAGACATCAATAAATATGCATAAATCACAAACATCTATTCTATCATGCAATATGCTAGCTGCGGAAACATGATTTGCACCTCGCAGCAATGATCCAATTAAGCGAGACGAGTCTTGTCTTTCCGTGCGAACTCACCGGTCCGGGTACTCGCGGCACTCGCCAGGGACGCTTCACCTACCCTGATGGCGACGTCTACGACGGCGTGGTGGTTTCGGTTGGTGACACATGTCATGGGTTTTGAGCTCCACTCCCGCAGGAGGTCAGCTCAACTTGTTTGTGTTCACCAGTCGTTTTGAAGCAGGAAGCAAGATGTCTGTGAACACAAGGTTTGACAGTGGCAAGCGCGCTTTGTAGAATGGCTGCAGAGTTGTTTGGAATGGCAAGCTCATGACCAGAACATGTTGGCAGGACTTCTTTTATTAGCATGTTTTTTGTCCAGTTTCAATCAAGTTCTTGGGCAAGATCCTTAGATCCTGCACCACGACTGGGAACCAAACGGAAATCCCCCCACTCTTCAACAGGCATGCGACTTTGGAGCCATAGGAAAGAAGACTTGGCTCAAATCTCACAGACTATTTGGCTCAAATCCCCCACTCTTCAACAGGCATGCATCTCAAAACTTGGCAAGCCCCAGAAACCACCGCCACCACTAGATGTTTCGTCTCCATGTCTTTACAAGGGCTTCATAATCTCAAAGAGCCACAGTGGCCACTGGCCCACTGGCCATATATGAACTACCACCGAGGGGAAGACACCTGAAAAATAGGTGGCCTCTACTGGAGTTCCCCTTTCAAACGGAGTCACGCAATGCGGACCTTCACGGGAACACATGGAGAAGCAATGAGAAACAATTGAAGTCACATGATGGTAACCTGCTAGGCCTTTTCAGTCGAGCATTTGGTGCCTTTTATCAGATCAGCGGGTAAACCAGCCGGTCAGCGGGAAAAATCCTCCCTAATTACTGCGCCAGAAACGGTCCCTCGCTTGACGATCTCGGTTCTCGGTTCGCAGGTGAGTGGCAAGATGGGAAGGCCCATGGTGGGGTCCTCAGAGAAGAAGCAACGGCGGAGGAGAGATGAGACACTAGCTCCATGTGTGAGCAGGAGGAGAGTCGTTGTGGTCTTTTTTTGGGGGGGGGTGGAAAAAGGGAAAACACCAGGCTATGAAAAGGAGTGATTCCAAATCGACTATATAGTGCATTTTTGGAAGAATGGCCATTGGTTTCTATAATTGACTATATAATCAACACCCAGACACACTCAAAAACATGGGCGCTTGGTCTATTGATCACCACGTGGTCGCCACCCCTTTGTGGTCGCGGCTCATGGATCCCAACCAAGGCCACGGGACGTACACTTCAAAGCAGCTGGATGCCCCAGGAGCGGGCGACGTCTCGCCGTGGACCAACTGGATCGAAAAGGCCATGGAGTGTCCAATCTTTCTTGGTGCGAATTGGTTTCTCTACTCAACGAACGGGTGGACAACCGAAGGAGTCAGTTCTTCCGGGTTTTGGAGCGCAATGGATTCAGCATGAGTTTGGTGATCTGCATTTAACCGCCTTTGTCCAGCTTTTGTCTATTGATCATGTGCAGATCGAAACAAAGATCCAAGATGATCCAAGATGATCCAAGATGATGTTGAGGTAAGCATCTGCACAAATCTGTGCAAATCTTGTGTGCGTGTGGTGCAGATTGGTGTAGGAGTTTTGATTCAAGGCCTTTTGCAGATGGTGGAGTGGTTTTGGAACAACCAGACATCGCCCAGGTTGAACATGCGACATGAATTATTAAGCCAAACAAGGATCAGACACCCACTCAAAAGAAATGATCCGCCTGCTACCAGACTGTACAGTGTGTGATTATTGGTTACATTATAATGCTTTATAACGGTGTATGACCTTCAGCATCAGAAATTGTGGTGCCACCGTGAGATTACGAGGTTGCTTCTCCCACGCCTCGTGTGAGGCAGGCAATTCATGTTTGTTTGATGGTGTGCTTGTATGATCTTATATATATATATATACTTGTGTCTCAACCTGTCTCAGACGCAGCCAGGTTCAACACCCAGCACACTATAGCACACTCGCCACAGCGGAACTCGGGTGACTCAGGTCCAAGTACGTGGGGGACTGGCAGAGTGACCTCAAGCACGGCCAAGCCGTCGAGGAGAGGGACTTGCTGTAGTAATTACTGGGGGTGGGTCGTTTGTGTGGGAGTAGTTTGTTGACCACGGATGGTCCGAACACAAAGGACTGGCGGAGACTGGCGGAATTCTGCTGATTGTTCCTGCCCCCCAAAAAGGCCCCACCCACTCCGGGCCGCCGTCGGAGGTCAAACTGTCATGCCTCGGATGGATTGGGCCGGATGAAGAACGCTCAGGGAAGAGATTCTGTTACCAGTTGTCGGGCGAGCTTGAAATATTGACGAACAACATGCTGTGCTGACTGGATCTATTGGTTGCTTCCAATCTTTATGTTGATCATTGTATCTTCAACCTTAGCCTCCCCGGGACGACTCATCCCGATTCTAAATCTGAGAGGTGGGTTGGTCACGACCTTAAGCAGGAAGAAACAACGTAGCTCAAATCCCCAGTGGTGGGCCAAGAACACTACTACAGTAGTAGCTCCTGGCATCGCTACTAGTAACAAGGGCATTACTACTAGGAACAAGAAGCTACTAGTAGCCAAGGGCATTGTGGCATCGCTACTAGTAGCAAGGACGCTACTATGTATACGTCCTTTTTCTCATCATCAAAGTGGAATGAAAACGACCTGTTTGGTTGAAATCGCCGTGCCTTCAGGGAGTGTATCTTTCAGCCATTCTTTAGGATGTCAGCCAAGAGTTCTCTAAATGGTGACCGGCGACTGGCGGTTTTGGCCTAACTCGTGTCGCCCTCGATGTTGGATGCTGGGAGGGCGTTTCTTTTTCTGCCGGGCGGGTGGCATCAAACCATGGGGTTCACTGGGAATTGCCTTTAAGTGGTGAAGGAAAGCTGCTCACAGTGAGGAATGAAACGAAACAGCTTTGAAAAACAACGAGGCTCCGCAAGAGATGGAGCCGACTACAGCGACTATACTATACACGCTTTTGAGCCATCTCAAGCTGCACCAGGATGTTTTGCACACTCCACGCCTGCACGCTTTTTGAGTTTGTGTGTATTGTTGTTCATGGGTTGTGATGTAAGTAGCATGGCCTTTCGCCGACATGCCAGGCGCATGTGTTGCCTTATGTGTCCTTGCGTTTTCAGATGCGAAGAGAAGGCATGTTGGGGGCCTCACTCTTCTTCGCCTTCGCCGTCGCCCCAGAAAGATATTCAGTCGACGTAGTGATAAGAAGGGCCAACCGACTGCAACAGCGTCAGGAGTGGGACGACACGTCAAAGTACACCGGCACCTACTCTCATGGGCAGAAGCATGGCAAGGGCAGGTGCGCCAGAAGCTTGTGTTTGAAACGCCGAGCCGTAGGCTGCTAGTCTTCAGTTGGTTTCGTCACTCAGGTTTGTATACCCCCAACCACGCCAACGCTCCAGTGGCTGACTGGTGCTCAGTAGAGAAGGACAATAGTTTGGATTCATGCGTTTGTGTTTGTTCTTTTTCTTTTGGCAGCGTCTGCTACTGAGTCCATGATTACCTGTTGAGATCGTTGGGGAAAAAAATCAAGGGCCATTTGTGCACCTGGATTCTGGATCAATGCACTGCTGCAACACAGGACTAATATGTGAAGTACATATGATAAAATATAAATAACATAACATAACCATTGCCACTTTGAACTGGCTTCATCACGCTTCATCCTAATTCGTTCCACTCCCTTTCTGACTTTGTCACGGTCAACAGGCAGTTGGGCTGTGCAAAACAAAGCAACACCACCAGCCACCTCGCCCGAAACCACCTCACTCAGACCGACTGCGGCATGCACCACCGCCGGGGTTTCTCCACATGTGCCGGTTTCTCACGGCCGACAACCGCAGGTTTGAATGGCCTGATGGCTCCGTCTACGACGGCGAGTTTCGCAACAACAACGCCCGGGGCGCCCGACACAACGACGCCAGCGGTGCGACGCTTTCGGCTTTCGGAGCCGCACCCCACAAGAGCCGAAGAGCGCGAGCAGACGAAAAGGCGGCCGGTCGTGCTGTTTGATATATATCTATGATGTTTTATGTTGTTTTTGGGTGGAGCGAGTTGCGCAAGCGCAAGGCCGCGAGCATCCGCGAGCCAAATATGGCCGGTCAGGAAACGCCGTTCGGCGGGTCTGGTGCGCGGAGATTTGCGGAGGTGGTGGTGTTTGGGAGGGTGACGGCGAGGGTGAGGGGTGGCTATCAGATGTGGTCGGAGGGGCTGTGAACCTGGCAAAATGGGAAGAATGATAATTAAGTAAAGAAAGCTGCAAAAAATGGAGAGGACAGATTTTGTGGAAGGTTACCAAAAAGGGGCTGTTATTCCGGTATTCCATTGTCACACAAAATCCCAAAAAGTCCGGAATACGAGACGTATGTTGCAACTTCCCTGAGACTTCCCAGCTTTGAGGTGAAGTCTTATGCCGAATTCTGATGCCGAAGCGCGAATCACGTGCATCATGCGAATCCGCGCATCGTCCCTGCTGTTAGGTGGAAGGTGAAGGGACCTTCACCTGGAAGGAGCGACGTTTCGCTCGCCGGTTCACCGTTGGCTTCGCCGGTCGCTCGGAGAGACGTGATACATCGTGAGAGGATGGGGGCGGTTTGCCCCCCATCGTGAGACCGCGCTCCGGTGCTGAATTCGGTGGTTTTGTTGGGTAGACGTTCGGAGGATGGGCGGTTTTCACTCGGTTTTTGCAGGATGTGTCGGGGTCCCCAAAGCCGCTCCCCCTGTTTCCCCAGTCCGACTGTCCGCAGGATGGACGACAGTACAAGGGTCAATGGGTGGACAACCGCCGCTTGGACCGGTTTGGGCATGCTGAGGAGGGAGGTTTGGGGGTGGTCTTTTTACCACAGGTTTGGGGGGAATCTGCAGGGTTTGGTATATAGAAGATGTCGCCCAAGTGTGCTCTTGAGCACTTGGGGTCAAATTGCTGGGGGGGGCATTAGGGGAGGAGCGCTTTTGATGATGAGTGTCTTAAACAAAGGTGAGGCTTGTCATACAAAAGGCACAAGAAAGGGATTGGAGGAGAGACAGTTCCATCGTTTCGGTGGGCCTGAATGTTGGGGAGAAGGTGTTCTTCAAGTATCCAAATGCTTCCGGTCCTGCCGCCCTGTGGTTTTGATTGTGGTGGGCAAACACCATGGCTGTTTGCTCAGCAATGAGTTTTTGTGTGCAACACGAATGACACATTTCTGGAATTGGGCCTTGAGTAAACCGTGATCCTTCAAAACATCCAGCAAGAAGAGGCCTATGCTGGTCAAAGCGGTGCTGGCAGAACAAGACCACAGGTCCAGGCAACCCACGACAATCGAAACCACACGGGTTGAAACCACTGAATCAGCCGCTTTATTTCACATATACGTCAATAAGAACTCTGAGCAGCCCTTCACCCAGGTCAATATGTTGGACACGTTGGACTAGACCGCATTGATTGCAAGGACAAGTGTTGCTACTTGGTGTCCTGTATTTGCATGCAAACTTACTGACCAGCTGCGCAGTCTTCATGATCTCGCTCCGTCTTTGTTGTTTTGGTTGCTCGTGAGTCACTGCAGATCTCTTTCAGTGGTGGTACTGGCGTGGTTGTGGTGGTGGTGGTTGTCGTCGTAGTAGCAGTAGTAGCAGCAGCAACAGCAGCAACAGCAGCAGTAGCAGGAGGAGTAGTAGCAGTAGTACTAGTAATGAGGTTGTGGTTTGGGTTGTGGTTGTGGTTGTTTCCATTGTTGTTGTTGGTGGTGGTGGCGGCGGTTTATGTTGTTTGCTTTAACATTTGTTTGTTTGTACGTTTGTGTGGTGTGTTTAGTAGTACATGTGTTTTTTTTCAATGCTGCTGTTGGCGTTTCGTTTCCTGTTGGTTGCATTTTGTTGATTTCCAGAGTTGGTCATCTAGGTATCGGTGCTGTTGTTCGTTGCAGCACCATCACTGCGTGTATGCGGTTCTTTTAACTATAGCCAGGTTTTTGGGCTCTGGGTTTGCAGACACCTAGGACTGGGGCCTCTATGCAATGGAAATAGTTACTGTATATAACGCTTAATTATTGATTATACTTAATGTAATTTATTTTTGTCACAAGACTCTCACAGCAATCGCAGCAAGTGTCAGAGGCCTTCTTCTCTCCTGCATGGAGAGAGTCTCAGACTTCTACTAAAGTTTGCAACAGGATGTTTCCGTCAAGAACAAAGTCCTATTCCGCAACTCTCCATTCTTCTGAAACTTTCCGAATAAAACTTTGACCTTTCTGTCAATTATGATGAATATTGCCCATTTCCCTTTGGTTCCCTCCTTTCTGTCTCCAGACGGCTTGACACGGACCATTCACAGCCCCAAGGAATGCACGGCGAGGGCCGTTACGAGTGGCCTGATGGGAGAGCCTATGAAGGTGGGGAAGTGAAAAGTGAAGAGAGCACCGAGCACCTGCCTTTGAACAATGTGCTGTACAACATTGTACAAGATTGTATTGGGGTCGGGTCTTTAACCAATATACTCTAAACAATCTCTAATATATCTCTAATGTATACCAGCATGGGTGTGTCTCAAGAGTATAATGTTCGTTCCGTTGGGCAAGGACGCTTGACCCCTACTTCTTCTGCACGCCAGGTCTAACGGTCCGTTGATCGGTACATCCATCGACCGTGGTTTGACTTCAACATCCTTGAAGGAGTCAAGTTGTATACAATGTTCCACCGATTCCTCCTGGAATCGGTGGCTTTGAAGGCTGGGGTGGAAAGGATTGAGACAATTGCTGTTGAATGTATCCAAGAGCAGGTTGGAAAGCACAATCATGCAGTGGGCAGGTGCCGTCAGTGCGGTCCCCATCCTCAGTCAAATGTAAGAGGGCCCCACAGAGATCTTTTTCGATGGATGTGTTTCCATGTTTTCACAATGCTCATACCATGCAAGGGCTCCTCAAGCGATGATTTGTACTGAGCCCTCATGGTGAAACCATATTCCGTCAAATATTAATACAGTACACGCACCGGCATGACGGGGCACATTCCCCCTGCATGAGTGCACAACAGTCTCCTCAGAGTTGGCTTCAGCCGTCGACCACTGCTGCGCAACTACCTGCTGGCCCCACTCCTCGATGGCGCCCACAACTAGAGCGATCACATGCCAAGTGTAGAGTTCAACCGTTCCATTCAAGAGCCTATCAGGCTTCTTAACATACCCAGCCCGGTTCGTCGCGTTTTAGCGCGAAGATCGAAGATCAATGACGGCTGCTTGAAAAGGTCAGTACATCAACGACCTCAAGGACACGCCGAGAGCGAAGTTGACTGACAACGTTTCTTTTTTTAGTGGTCTTGAATGACTACAATTACTTTTTTTGAGGGGTGCTCTCATCATGTTAAATCATGGTATTATTGCGGTGTTTAAAAATCATTGTACTGTAGACTGTAGACCCTTGAGGTAAAGAGTCTGGTTCTCTTCACTGCAAAGGTCAATCCTGAGTGGCAAACAAAATTGAAGAGACGGTTTCAGTGCGACCCATTTCCTGGCACACACGCCGATGTCCAGGCAGGGCATTTGGAATTCTATCCCATTTTGCAGGATTCACTCATGGAAACCTCATTGTCGATTTGTCAGAGCGTATATTGCTCTAGCAATCAAAGTGCATGTGCCATATTGTTTGGTGGTATATTAGAATATACTGGTATGTCAATCTAGGGACACCCTCCAGTTCACAACTTCCAGCTTTTTAGAGCATTGTTGGGGGCCCAACTCCACCCTCCACGACCCTTGAGCGTTCGAATAGTGTGACTTCATTCGGCCTCAAAGACTTAACACCCAGCGCCCAGTCTGCCCAGTGCCTTGAAAAGCGAAGATTGGCAGGAAGGGGAAGGGACCTTCCTTTGGGCTGATGGGTCTGGCACTTGTTGGTGTCCTTTTTTGCTGAATATCACGTGAAGTCACACTGCCAAGGATGTTTCTTCCTTTATTAATTTATGTTGTTCTTTCACGCTGGTGAATCACACTGACTGCGCATGAAGGGTTGGGGCGATCGTTGAGGCTGTGTTGGGAGGCATAGAGATCCATTGAGATCCTAAGGAGCGGTGATGAGGGGTGTAGGTGTGTTCATGTTGTTGTTCTCCCCCTAAGAATCCTTCGGCTCCCATGGCAGGGGTCGGACCCTCCATAGCAAGGGGTTTGGGCCCTCAAAACCCTATCCGGATTCTTAGGGCCATAGTGTTAAACTTTGAACATGACGATGGAAGATCGCCGGAAAGCCACTGAAGGCTCGTGTTCCTTGTAGGAATGACATGTCCATGTGACCAAACAGTATCTATATGACATGTTCATGTATTGGCATGTTTCTTCAATCCCACCCCACATGAGTTTTCGTTCCAGGAAACATAAGGAAATCAAACGATATCAAATGCAATGCGAAGAACGTGCACTTTTATCATGATCCATGGTGCCAACGGGATCCACCTTCAGGGCGAAGAGTGACATGCGGACATGCGAAGGTGCGGGAAAAAACCGGCGACGAGCCTTGTCCCACTCCTACCCAGGAAAAGTGGGTAGCCTTTAACCTTTTTAATTGACCTCTTTTGGGGATTGGTTTCCTCACTGAACATGGAAACGGGTTACAGTATCCTTTGCTTTCTAAGGGACCTGAAGGAGTCAGCAGTGAACTTCAAGAAGCGGTGGTGATGAAAGTACCAGAGGGTCTTCTTCCCCATCTCCCCATCTGAAAAAATCCGATCAATCTGTGCCTTGCTGAGGCGGAAGTTCACCGGGCAATGGAAGGACGGCAAACAGCATGGCGTTGGGGTGGCTGGGTTTGCAAAAGAGGAGCCCATCCGCGGACCATGCTGGGGACCATCCAGGGCGGTTCGAAGAGGAGTCGCTCCAATGGATGCCCTGTCTCCAATGCAGTTGACTGATGGAACCAGTTGACTGGCGCAATGATGTACATGTTTTGAAAAGAAAAACAGGAGTTGGACTGCCGCAGGTCGAATCGTCAGTCCTTCGTCCAGTCTGGGGGGTTCTTCCCACCGGCCAAAAAAGGGTGGTGGGCTCCAGGCTCCAGGCCCAGGCCGCGCACCCGATGTTTGGACATGGAGGACGTGGCGGAGATGGAGCTTGTATACAGGTCGGCCGCAAAAACGCTCCACCATGTCACATGGTCACCTGACCGGGACCA